CACCACGGTGTACGAAAGGGACGACGACGACCTGGCGTATGACGACGCCAATGAGGATGAGGAGTTTCTGAAGCTCGACCCCGACATGCATGCCGACCCCGAGCACTGCTGGGACATCTCGACCATGACGGTGAAGGAGGCGTTGGCAAGCTGGAAGGGCCCGGCGGTGAAGGCCGCCATGGAGGAGGAGATCCGCAGCCTCATCAGCATAGGGACTTGGGAGTTGGTCGAACGCCCGCCGGGAGTGAACGTCATGAAGAACCGGTGGGTGTTGACGACGAAGTACCACGTCGACGATACCGTTGAGCGCGAGAAGGCGAGGCTGGTTGTGAAGGGTTTCACGTAGGTGTACGGCGCCGACTACGACGAGACGTTTGCGCCGGTGGGCAGCTACGTCACGCTGAGGATCCTCCTCAGCATCGTCGCCGTCCGCAACCTCAACCTGATGCAGCTCGACATGAAGAACACCTTCTTGCAGAGCAGGCTCGACACGGTGCTCTACATGTCCCACCCGGACTACTTCAACGACGGGACCGGCCGGTGTGCAAGGTGTTGAAGAGCCTGTACGGGCTAAAGCAGTCGCCGCTGCTGTGGTACTTGGCGCTCAACGAGGTGCTGGTCGGCGCCGGGTGGAAGAAGAGCCAGGTCGACGAGGCTCTCTACTTCAAGGTCGGAGAGGACGGAGTGGCCTACTGGGTGTTGGTCTACGTTGATGACCTGCTTGCCGCCAGCAGCAACATCGAGATGCTGAAGGAGCTGAAGGAGTTGCTGGAGTCCGCCTTCGAGCTGCGCGAGATCTCGGCGGTGCACAAGTACCTCGGGCTGGAGATAGTCCGCGACAGGTCGGCGGGGAAGCTGTGGCTGCACCAGCAGGGCTACACCGACAAGCTGCGTAGGCACTTCATCGACAAGGAGCAGACCGGGCGCACCCCGAAGACGCCGGTCTCGGTCGATGCCTACGCCGAGCTCATGTTCGATGACGAGGAGGCACAGGAGCGGCAGGAGGAGGAGTACCGGCAGAAGGTTGGCTCGCTGCAGTTCGCGGCGACGACGACGAGGCCGGACATCGCCTTCGCCTGCAGCAAGCTGGGGAGCGGCCTCACGGTGAGGAGCGACGAACACTGGCGCAAGGTCGACCGCTGCCTCGCCTACCTTGCCAATACGCATGACACCACCCTAGAGTTCGGCGGTGGACCTGAGTCGCTGGAGCTGGTCGACTACGTGGATGTCGACAACGCCGGTGATAAGCAGAATAGGACGAGCAGGGTGGCTACGTGCTCGTCTATGGAGGGGCCGCAGTCTCCTGATCGAGTCAGCGCATCAAGTGTGTGATGTTGTCGACGACTGAGTCAGAGTACGTGGCAGCCACCGAAGCCGGCAAGGAAGGACGCTGACTTCGCTTCCTCCTTGCAGAGTTCCGGCAGCTGGATGCCGGGAAGCCGACCGTCCTTCGGGTGGACAACAAGTCGGCCATTACAGTCACCGTAGGTATGGGGTTGACGGGCAACCTCAAGCACATGGAGAGGCGACAGGCCTGGCTGCAGCACATGGTGAAGCGCGGGAAGTTCTCACTGAGGTACATCCCGACCACTGAGCAGCTGGCCGACTTTCTAACGAAGGCGCTGCACTATCCGGCCTTCAACTAGTGCTCCGTCGCCATCGGCCAGATCCGCTTGGCCGACGTGGGCGACGAAGATGACGACGTGCAGCAGTAGGTGCCATGCCCTTCTACATGGCTGGTGCGGTGGATGACGTGCTGTGTGTTGGGTGCACGTCGACGAGCTATTCTCCGAGGAGTACTGCCGAGTGGACCTTGGGGGGGGGGCCAAGCTTGAACGCGGCAGGGGAGTGTCAGAGGGAGTTGTTTGTTGGCCCCGTCCACGCTTGGGCGGAGCCGACTTCGTGGTGGGGTGTACGGAGGGTACACCCAACTTGCAGCAGTGGGCGACGCCGACTTGGGCGAGCTGGTCGACGGGGCTGGTCGACTTGCACAGGGCCACTGCAATGCCTCCGACTTGGGAAGCCGGTGGCCGACTTCAACTGGTGGTCGGCGCCGACTTGCAAGGTCGCCGACTTGGGAGGTCGCCGACTTCAAAAGGTCAGTCTGGAAGTCGGCGCCGACGTAGAAGGGGCGTTGACCTGGTGACGCCGACTTTGGGTAGCCGACTTGGGTGGTCGGCTGACAACTGCATCGGTCGACCAGGATACCTGGGTGACGAGGTTCTGCAAAGGAGTGCGACGGTCGCCCAGGCAACGTTGGCCACTCCGACCTCAGTGGTGGTATCCCGAGGTTGACGTGGCGGATCAGGTGGAGCCGTCAGCACGAAGAAGACTAGGTGCGTGCGCTGTTCAGGTGACAAGGCTTAGCCCTCCAAGCATCAACGAGCACCTGCAAAGTAGGTGCGCTGCTGTTCTACGGGAGCAACACTGGCACGCCGTCAACCTGCAGCGTTGGCACGCTGTCGACTTTGCACTGCTGGAGCGTGGTCGACCAAGTCGTGCTCGAACGCGGTCGACCATGCTGTGCTGGCAGTCGACCGACCTGAATGCTAGCTCTGATGTAGTCTTGCCATGCCAACTTGATTGTACCTTTTTTTTTTCAACTTTCTCTAGTGAGACTCTTGCAAATATTGCTTCGTGAATTAGCAAGCAGTTTGAGCACTAGGAAAACGACTAAGAACCAACGAATACAGAGACCACACGATTACCCGTGCCTAGCCCATAGTCTAGCTCCCGTTATAGTAGTTATCTCCGCACCTGTTGCACTTGTCGCTAGTGGGTCCGTTGCTCTTGCCGCTCGTCTTAGCCGCGGAGCCAGTCACTCCAGTAGTCCGTCGCCCTTGCTTCGGTAGCCACTGAGTCAGCCGCTCCTGTGCCCGTGCCTCTGCAGCTTAAGTCGTTGCCTCCCATCTTCTCTCCTCCCATAGTCTCTCCTCCTCCTCACTTGCCCTCTGTGTTAGCCTCTAGCTTTGCTTGCAATTGTGAGCCTGCTCTATGAATGCTTGCTATGCTGATTATACCCCACTTTGACTATGGGGGTGCGTCAGAATATAATGCTTGTCTAGTCTGTAGTGGGGTACTCAATAGTGAGAATACCCTTTTAGGGCTTGTTATTTGTACCTCCCTTCTTTCTAGTCAACCCCTCTTTTGCCTAATTCTCTCTTCCCTAGCTAGGTAAACCCTAGCTATGGCTCCTCACTATACCTACTACTCTCACAGGGTGATACGGTATTTTTGGGGAGAGGTTTAGAGTACACAGCCCATAACAAGTCCATTAGGCTGGATTCACGTCCAATAACATGAGCACATGCACATTAACCCATCACGCTAACCAAGCGTTCTGACCAATGGGAGAAGGCACATGGCACGATTGCAGGGTTACATGCTTTTGACGATCGGGGAGTTCATTATGCAGAGGGCCTCAGAAGTCAGGATTTTTACCCAGATTTTCTGAATTTTCAAGGTGCTTTCATGAAGTGACCCTGAACCTTCCGCCTTTCATTTTTGTAGACATTTTTTTTCAGTTTTTTTTTTTCTTAAGATTCTGACACTGATTTTTCCGTGTTTTGATTCTTCTGGCATCGACGAATCAGAGTTGTATCGCGTTCGACCCTGAAACTGAAGATAAAATTGCGTGAATCTGTTAAGATAGCCTGTTAGACTTAGATATTAGGAGATAGGAGATGGCAAGACTAGGGAGAGGTTTGGCCAATGAATGGGGGTTCAATATGGAGAGAGATACAAGATATACGAAAGGTGGCAAAAGGAGGTATACCACCAAGAGACTACACTACTAGCTATTGTATACCTGTTGGTGGTATACCTCCTTTTGCCAGGGCGAGGCCAAGCACAAACAGGGCGCTTCACACCCGTGGGAGCAGCCCTGTCACTCTGTAGTAGCTCCCTGGCATCACTCGGTAGGTCTGCCTCGCACTGAGCTAGCCAGCGGTAGAGAGCGCAGGAGTCTGTGTACGGTCCCATCATCTGCACCCGTGTCCCCGTCAGGGGCCCTAACTGGTTATCATCTTCAGTGTGATGCGTTTGCTATCATCTTTCAGGAGCGATCGGACGGTGTGAATAACACATTCAGCGCCGCCCGCGTCTACTACTCCATATTGCACGGGCAGGAAAAATTCCCTTATGTTCGGCGCCAATTCGCGCAGCGCCGCTTTCGCCACTACTCTGAGTATGGTTTCGCCAATGGCTATAGGTCTTACCCCGCCTCCTGGTTTTTCTAGAGCGATGAGAAGCGATGGGAGTAGCAGGCCGCGAATTTCCCGGGTCTGGTGTGTTCCAAGCAGGCGATTAACTACGCGCGTGAGTAGTATAAGGGCCTCCTCGTTTGTGTGGGCGTGATCCTTCAGGTGCTCAAAACATGTGCCTCATGGGCCTGCTCCCACCCAATTCGGGCATTTCGCCAAAAGTTCGCGGAGGTCGTCCTGGCTGATGCTGAGTGAGGCCGCATTGTACCCAGTAACCACATTGGGGGTTGGAGTTTCCGCGTTGGGGTGTTTCGCTCGTAGTGCTGCGAGTGTCTCTGGCGATGTCTCTGCTAGTGGTGTTACGCGTAACGCTGCCACCGCTTTTGAGATATTTCCTTTTTTTACAAGTCCCTCCGCTCTTGCACATAGGCCCATGTCATCCGGCTAGTGTCGTACCGGCCCCCCTGTATTGGGGATGACATAGGCCTCGGTGTAGAGGTTTTCCCATCTGCCGAGCCTGTGCTCGATCTCGGCCCATCGACTCCCTTCAACCGGCTCTGGCATTGATCGTAGGGTCAACCTAGGTAGAAACAGCAGCGCCTTCCAGCCTCCTGAGCAGTCCGGATATGGGATAGCCTGAGGAGTGGGGTCATCAGGGGCTGGGTGTAGGTCTCCAGAATCTTAGGTGGCAACCGTCAAACCAGGAAGGGCTGGTTGCTCTGCTGGAGTTTCGTTGTATCCCAAGCCGCCGCCTGTTGCCAAAGTCCAGCGTCACTCGCCAGGTCAGATGGTTGACGTATGCTGGGCCCTAGTTATGGTGCTGGTGTCGCATCATCCCTAGGGGCCTCAGTGTCAATTCTCCCGCCTACTCCAGCCCTTGCTCTGCCCCTTGTGATGGCTCTCTCTTCCCTTTCCTCGTCCTCCTGCGAGGCTTCCAATTCGCCGTGCTCAATTTCTGGGTTGAATTTGCTCCCGCTGTCATTGTTGTCAGCACTCCCTTCCTCCTCATTCGCCACCTCGTGCTCTTTTTCAGGCCGATTGTGGCATTCCCGCTACGTCCCGGATCTCTCCAGCGCTGGTTCTCCGCCCACAACGGGCCCTCTCCCCCCTCTTCCTCCGCGCCTCCCGCCCTGGTCTCCGCGTGTGCCGCCCCTGCCTGCACTGCTGCTCCCTCCTCGACCGCCGTGGATCGCGCCCGTTTGCCTCGGCGGCATCTACGGTGCCCTTCCTATGATCGCGCGTCTGCCATTCGGTGGTCCCCAGGCGATTCTGCCTCCTCTCGCGTGGCTACGGGTCTCTCTTCCTTCGGTTTGTAGCTGGGCGTCATCAGCGGCGGCTGTTGCGGGTCTCGACTGTGGTTGTGGCCAAGTTTTTGCTTGTTCGTTCTACAGTCCTCGTCTGTCTCTGTTCCCTACAGCTTCCCTCCCCGTCGTTCCTTCGGATGGCTGACGATGCTTTTGGGCTTGTGGCCTCTACTCTTGCAGATGCCATCCCCGGAGAGGCCCCGGGGGACTAGGTGCCAGGCTTGCTCTGAGCCTTCGCGGTGCTGGCTGGGTGCGGATCTTCCTCCCGTGCCTCCCGCAGCCAGCGCGGTCGGCGTGGTGGTTCTCGCGAGCTGGTGTATCGCTCTCCTCCTGGGCGTACTCATGCGTTCCTGTGTCCGCGCCAGCAGCAGTCGTTTCGGCGCACTCACCGCTAGCCCTTCTTCCCTCCACCTCTTCTGCGTCCTCCGCGTTTGTCCCCACTACGGTTCCCTCCATCACAGCCACCTTCACTCCCACCTCCTTACTTGCCGTTTCCACAGCCTCTGTCGTCGCCTCTTCAAACTCAGCAGTCGTCTGCTCTTCAGCCGGCTTCTCTGCCGCATTCCTCTCAGATGCCGCCCATGTTACCTGCCCCTGTGGCTGTTTTGACGGCTTCCCCTGCTGTCCCTCCTTCCCCCAAGGGTGCGGTCCCCAAGCTGCTCCAGGGGGGGCGTGAGATCCCGATACCGTGGGAGGCGTTGTCGACTCCTCCACAGCCTGCTGCACCTGTTGCCTCCGGCGCAATCCTGGATGAGCGTTGGAGTAGGTGGGGGGAGTGCGCTCCTGTTGAGCGGCTTCTTCTTGTCGAGCAGCGCGTTGCGACCGTGGGGACTGTCCTGGAGCTGGTGGCGGGGGTGCTTGACCAGCTGCATGCGAGTCTGAGGCGCGGGCGTGTTGCTTGCCTGCCGCTGTTGAAGAAGGAGCGGGCGGCTGCCGTGGCGGCGGCAAGACAGATGATGCTGAGCTTCCCACGAATGGGTCTCGTGACCGGCTCCCCCGGGGTGGGTTCTGGTCCTGGGCCTTCTGCCGTGAGGCGGTTGGCTTCTTCTACCCGTTGCACCCCCCTTGACGTTGTACCAGCCGCCGCAGCGCTGTTGCGCTGGTTGGACGGACAGCTGGCTTTGATTCTCGCCGAGTAGTCGCCGGTTTCCCTTGCCCGGCCCTGTTTGTGCTTAGCCTCGCCCTGGGCTTCCCCATGCTGGATGTGGTCACGCCTGGGGGTGTTGTAGTGAGAGCCCCTGCCGTTGTTGTATGTTATAGTCCTTGCTATAATAGTGAGTGCTCTTTTTGACCTTGCCACCCCTAACGCTGGCGCGAGCCGCTGGGTTGGGGAGATGAACATACCAGCAACTAATGAGGATAGGATGGCAGATTCTGGCTTAAGAGGAGGGATGTACTCACTATAGGCATGGCTTCAGCTACACTAGTAGAGGTTACTCTCTGTCTCTCCCTCTCTCTCTCTCCCTCTCTCTCTCTCTCTATCTCTCTCTCTCTCTCTCTCTCTCTCTCTCTCTCTCTCTCTCTCTCTCGCTCTCTCTCTCTCTCTCACGCGCCAAAAGCACCCACCAGCTGTTGACGAGGGGGTGATCTGGCCGACACCTGAGAAGTCAACGTTCTCAATCGCTCACGCGGATTTCGCAAAGCTGTTGGGCAGATGCGAAAATGGAGTTGGGGCTGGGCCGTCGGGGATGACATTCGAGCATTTGCGCGACTCGGCGATCACAAATGCGCTGGTCAGCACCCATCTGCACGCCCTGGTTAATACAATTTTGGGAGGAAATTTGCCAGACACGGTGGCAAATCTGTTAACCGCGTCGTGCCTCATCGCCTTGGCCAAACTGGGGGGTGGCGCCCGGCCAATCGCCATTGGCGAATGTTTGACAAGGCTGGCAGCCAAGGCAGCCCTGTTAGCAATGGGGGAGGCAGCTCGGGCCTTTTTCCTCCCTCTGCAGTACGGCGTGGCAGTGCCAGGTGGCGCCGAGACTGTGATCCACGCGGCCAGGGCCTTCTTGGACGCCCGCCCCGACAGCCTCGTGCTGCAAGCTGACATCAGGAACGCATTCAACAGCATCTCGCGACAAGCCATCGCCACCGCGTTACAGACCCCCGCCCTCTCGCCGCTCCTGCCGCTCGTCAAGTTCACATACGGTAACCCGTCGCAGCTGCTCCTCGATGCAAACTTCGAGTCCGAACCACTGCGAAGCGAACGCGGTGTCCGCCAGGGGGACCCACTCGGCCCGCTACTATTCGCAGCAGGAATACATGCCACACTTTGCGATACGGCAGACACACACCCCAGGGTGCTTTGTTTGGCGTATGCAGATGACGTGACGTTCATCGGGGAACAAGCAGACACTGTAGCGGCATTTTCGTACTTCACCAACAAATTGTCCCTCCTGGGGCTCGAGCACAACCCCCAAAAATGTGCTGCGTGGAGCTCCAGTACGGTACAAGCACCGCACCTACTACCCCCAGGAGTGCCGTTTTCAAATGCTGGCGTCCAGCTACTGGGGAGTTTTCTGGGACCGGACGACGGCGCAGCTTCTTTTCTGGCGGAGCAGTTAGCTGACATGGCGAAGCCGCTGACGCTCATCGAACGAACGGATCCCTAGCTCGCATCACTGCTTATCACGCGATGTATATCGAGGCGTGTTGCGTACCTGTCACGGACGACGCCCCTCAATCTTCTTCCCCGCGACAAATGGAGCCAGTGGGGCATGGACCTCCTCACCACGCTCCTTACCGCCTGCGACATCCGCATGCCGACGTGCCAATCGGAGCAGACGAGGGTTTGGGAGCAGGCGTCACTGCCTCCGTCATTAGGGGGGCTAGGCATTACAAACCCCCTGATTGAGGGGGTCTACGGTTTCGCCGCGAGCTTCACCCAGACAGGCGCTGTTTCTCAACGACCTCACGCTGGGCGACGGGAATGCACTGAAGCAGGCACGGGACCACATGCTCCTGCCGCGGGACACCAGCACGCCACTTCACGTTTGGGTGAAGGGGTGTGAGGAGGCACTGCCGACAGACGCTCGTGAGATACTGGAAAAGGAGCGGTTGGAGCGATCGGACATACGTCTTCAACACGTCCTCGGGCTGCAGGTACACGGCAGCAGATACGCCGTGCAGGTCCAGGCAACTAGGCGCATGCGGCTGAACCCACTCTCAGGCCACACTCAGCGCATGTTTTCGCTGACGGGATACGGCACCGGCGATTGGCTAACCGCGATACCCATTGAAGCGACTAGGCGTATTGGCCCCGTGCACTTCGCCAACTCTGTCAAATTCCGCCTGGCCCTCCCATTCTCGACTCCTAAGAATTGTGACTGTGCGGACAAAACAGCTATCACCGACCCCCGCCTGCCGAACCATCTCTTGCGCTGCGGCTTGGGCAAACACCGCATTAACAGCCACAACGAGCTGCGTGATGCATGCATTAGCATGGCGCAGCACGCAGGTTTCATTGTCCACAGCGAGTCGGCCGCCCATTGCCCCATCGAGGAGCAAACTGCCGACTTTACCATGACGGATCGAAGCAGTGGGGTGGTGTATGTGTGCGATGTCACTATCACGGATCCCATAAGCACGAGGGACCCAGAGGCGCAGAAGGGCAGGGGATGGGCGCAGTCAGGGGAATGCGCAGTGGGGATGCGCAGAATGCCAGTCAGGGAGCGCCACAGCTCCCGGACCACAATCGTGCTTGCGCCGATCGCCGCGGCTCCTGAACCAGCGCGCAAGTGGCGCCTCAGGCCCCGGACGGCCTCATCAAGCTGCCCCGCGGCAGCAGCGCCTCCCTCCACGGGCGCAGCCAACACGGGTGCCAGCAGCACCGCGAGCTGGTCTGCCGCGTCAAGGCAAGAATCACGCTGACGATCACGGAAGGTTTCAGGAGGGATCACAGGGAGCGACGAATGAGCCAGCACCTGAATCAGCAGCAGAGCATGGAGGCTGTCAGAGAGGCGGTGAAGCTGCCCGAGAGTCGCCTCGGGTACACGGGTCTGTGGAGGCTGCAGTGCCTCCGCCAGGAACTGGAGCGGCTCCTCCGCAGCAGCCGGGAGATCAAACGGCGCCGCCCATGATTCACCACCCGCGGGGACAAACTCAACTCCCGCAACAAGCGGAAGCGGCGGCAGTTGAAGACGGGAACCGGGAGCAGATGTTGATACCGCGTGAGGAGGTGCAGGCGGCGCTTGAACCTACGGGGGAGGCGCAGCAACAGGCTGCAGGTTCGGAGGAAGAGCAGCTGGACGGGGAGCCACGGGGGCTGGCATGGCGCGCAGCGAACTGCTCTGGCTCCGCGCCGCCCTCTCCTCACGAACAGCCCTGGACACTTCCCGCTGCAGATCCGCCATTGTCACAGGCGGACGATACCTCCCGACGCCGCCACGCCCCTCACGACCCCACCAGCCCCCATTGCCATCTTGGTGAACGGGCCATTGTGCATGCTACTGGTAACGCCGGGGGGAGTTGCGCCGGCGCCGAGACGACTCGCGTCCCTGTTGGGGCGCGGGAGAATGGGGCCGGGAGAGCCTGCGGTCCGGCGACGGAGGACGAGCCGGCGGACCGCCGGGGACAGCCGGCGGCAGAGCAGGAGCCACCGGGAGCACGCCGGGAGGCGCGGCCTTTGGGTCCGGCCCGACAGTGGTGGCTGACACCGCCCTCGGGGAAGAAGCCGACGCCGGCGCAGGCGCGTCGGGGACAGAAACGGCTTGTACAGCGAGAACGTTAGGAGCAGGATCAGAGGGACCAGCAGAACCCCCAGCATGAGCAGACGCAGTTGGCGCAACAACAGGAGCAAGGGGGACGGGAGCTGCCGGCAGAACAGGCGGAGCAACAACTGGAGCAGACGGGCCAGCCCCGCCCACGACGGGGGGAGCCACGGGTGCGGGGGGAAGAATCTTTTCAGCGACTGTTGTCACGGGTCTCGGAGCCGGCGGTACAGGAGGTTTCGACGCCGTGGTCGCCATTTCGGCCGGAGGCGGATGCTTGGCGACGACAGCCAACCAGGCGGCAGCGCGCTCTAGCGACGGCTCATCTGCTCCAGCAATCACCATTGAGGGATCGGGGAAGCCGTGGAGGTAGAAGACAGGAGGCTAGCGGGACAGGCGGGGGACCGGAGAATGGGTACCAGGCGGCGGCACGTATGGCTTTAACTACCTTGGCTGCAACTCATGAGGAGGAGGAGCTTGCGGACCCATCTTATAGGGAGGAATCCCTCCCACCTAGCGAAGACGGGGAAGTGGAGGGCGAAGGCGTGACGAGAGAATCTGGAAGGAGAGGAGCAGGCCAAGGGGGCCGAGCACCAGCAAACACGACCCAGGCGGGCCGGGGACCGTCCGATCCAGATCGTGCGGGTGACAATCCAACCCCGGTTCGGCCAACATCTACGAGCCGCGCTCGAAGAAATCGGACCGCCACGGCCACCACGGCGGCGCGCCAGAACACCCAACTCCCTCGCTATTTCTCGCCTGACGAGCTGGCGAGGCGTGAGGATTTGTTCGCGGCGATTGCAGACTGGGACATCGCTGCGCTCTGCGACAGTCGACAGCCTTCGCTGTCACGGCGTTTACCACCAAATCTGTGCCACCTATTTTCGCAGGCACTCCTGACACCATTGCTACACCTCTCACGAAACCCCGAATCCGAGCCTGGATGGCGCCTGCTGTTGTTTCTCCCGCGCCTTACACTTCGCCAAACCTCGCCACAGCGTCCAGATTGGCCGGGGGTCAAGACCCGACTCCGAGCTTTCCAGCGTGGCGAATGGGAGCGTCTGTACCTGGACGCGGCTGACGCAGTCAACACGCCTCCTCCGCCGCGCCACCAGCCCGACTCGACCGGGATCATTAGCCGAGCCGAAGGGCTCGCGAAACGTGGCAGTTTACGTCGGGCCGTGCTGGCTTTGGAGTCAACGCCAGTCTGTACCCCAAGCCCGGAAATCTTGGAAGAACTGCGTCGGAAGCACCCTCCTGCGGTACACGAGGCGGTGACTTGGCAGGTCCAACCCGAGTCAAAATTGTCCATCTCCCACACTGAGTTCGCGAAAATCTTGGGGCGATGTGAGAACGGAGTGGGAGCCGGACCGTCGGGCACAACATTTGAGCACATGCGCGACGCGGCCACCACTAACGCAATAATCAGC